TTCTAATTTTAACTCACTAACTCACTCACTCACTCTCACTCTCACTCTCACTCCTCTCTCTCTCTCTCTCTCTCTCCCTCTCTCTCTCTTCTCTCCTCTCTCTCTCTCTCTCTCTCTCTCTCTCTCCTCTCTCCCTATCATATTGGACTGTAAAAAAAAAAAAAAAAAAAAAAAAAAAATGTTTAACTCACTAAATTGTATATAAAGGACACATGAAATACTACACTCTAAAAACTTAAGATGCATAACCTTCAAAATTATATATAAAAGGCACATTTAACTTACTAGAATGGAATTTAGAAAAAAACATATTCAAATATAAAAAAATGTATAACTTACTAGACTGTAACATAAAAGACACATAACTTAATATAATAGACACATTTAACTCACTAGACTGTAATAATAAAGATATATATATATATATATAATATATATATATATATATATATATATATATATATATATATATATATATATATTATATATATAACCCACAAAATGCTGTATACAGGGGACATATAACCCATTACTCAGTAACTTAAAGAAATATACAACTTGATACTTAAGAAATACATAAATTACCAAAAAATAGAAAACAAATATAGAACCAAGCATAAAAAACTAAATAACTTAATACAAAAGACACAAAGAACTCACTAAACTATAATGCATACTTGATACACAAGACATACCTATCTTACTACACCACAACACAAAAAATACATAACTTAGTATAAAAAAAAATCACAATAAAGACACATAACACTTACTACTCTTATTACATAAAAGACACATTCAGCTCACTAAATTATAATATAAAAGATACAGAGAATTCCTAAACTAATGATATAAAAAAAAATACATTGAACTCAGTTGACTATAATATGAAAATGCATAGAACTCACTAATCTATAATACAAAAAATACATCAAACTCAGTCGACTATAATATGAGAGATGCATAGAACTCACTAATCTATATATAAATACAAATAATATGAAAGATGCACAGAATAATATAAATAACAATACAAAAAATACACGGAACTCACTCGACTGGTCTCCCAAAGTACAGATCTTCAGTGGGCGGGGCTTCTCCACCTTCCCCTTCCGGTTCTTCAAAGGCATGCTCAACTGTGAAGGAAAAAAAATATACATTAGCTTTTATTTGCCGTAAACTGAAGGATGGGTGTGTAGGTATGTGGAACTTTGATGGATGCTTTTTTGTGTTGCGGGAAGATGTCGAGGATGATTTTTAACTGTCTGTCTACTTGCTCTCTGTCTATCTCTCGTCTGTCTGTCCGTCTGTGTGTGTGTGTCTGTCTGTCTATCTGTCTGTCCGTCTGTATCTCTCTTTCGCTCTCTCTACTTCATCGCTTTCAAAGAAATTGACATGAACATAGGATTACGATCACAAATAAGGTTTATCAAAATAACAAGACAAAATTCCATAAAAAAACAACAAATGTTTACAAGAAAAATAAGAAAAATAAATCAACGCTGGATTCGAGAAAATAAAAGGAGCAAATTTCTCTCCCAAGATGACTCACTTCTGGGTCGCCCAGTGAGACGCGACGCCTTCGGATCCTTTTATTCAGCTTTGGCTTCGACTTCGTAGTGGTTTGCAACTTTGCATGTTTATGGAAAAGCAGTTTACAAGCTGTTCAATATATGTCAGTCTGATGACTGCTAATGACCTGAACCTATTCGGGTCTTCGGCAAGTGAACTCAGAAACATGACTTTAGGCGACCGAACTCACAGACGCATAAGACTCACAATATGATAGACGTTTTCTTCAGATGACCAATCGCATTCCTCTCCTCCATGAGTATTCCAAATTTCTACGAACCAATCCTGCGCTGGCAATCACAGAACGAATGACAGTCAGACATGCAAGTCAGACACAGATTTTCGGACAAGTTCACCGCATGCATGGCGACATCATGACATCATGAACTGAGGATTATCTCCATAGACAAGAAATGTTTAGTCTAGTCTCCGCATAAATAGGACCCAGACTCTCTTATCTCTCAGTTTCTACCTTATCAGGGGGAGAAGACGAGAACACGAGATGGATGAGAGGAAACAAACAAGAATATGATATGCCTAATATCTATAAGCGTTTACATGGTATTCATTTCTATTTATACCCTCGAAAATTATCTTCGGAATCAACAAGCCTGAACGAAAAATCTTGTGACCGTTAGGGAACAAAAGCTGTTATGTCTAGACTTTTTTTCACTCACAATAATAGTGAACACAACGAAGACTAACTCTTAAGAGAGGAAAACAAAAGCCATTTTTTTTCATGTTAGTAAATCCTTTTACTTTTCAAAGAGTCAATCTGTATCACATACATTATCTTTCCATCAGCTTTTATTTAAATTCAAATTCTTAAAAAAAAAAGTGAAATAACATTCCCGTAACTACAAGATATATTATTTCTTATCAGCCAAAGAGGAATAACAACCTAATTTCCTAGTAATCCAAGTTCGAA